ATGGAAGGCCGCTCGGTTCAGGGTCTGTGGAAAAGTCATCATCTTTCGTGGCACATCAATTGCCTGGAGATGATGGCTGTCTTCAATGCGTTGAGACAGTTTCTCCCAGACCTGAGGGGCCATCATGTGCTTGTACGAACAGACAACACATCAGTGGTCTCTTATCTGAACCGTCAGGGGGGTCTGCGGTCGCGTCCGCTCTGCAAACTGGCGCACCAGATCCTCCTGTGGTCTCTGGGGAAGGTACTCTCCCTGAGGGCAGTGTATATTCCTGGGGACCAGAATGTGGGGGCAGACATCCTGTCGAGGCAGGAGCTGAGGCCAGGGGACTGGAGACTCCACCCCGAGGCGGTGGAAAAAATTTGGGAGTTTTACGGCCAAGCAGAGGTGGATCTGTTTGCGTCTCAGCACACGACGCACTGTCCACTTTGGTTCTCCCTTACTCACCCAGCCCCCCTGGGGCTGGATGCTATGGTGCAGACGTGGCCGAGGCTACGTCTGTACGCATTTCCCCCTGTTGCTCTGCTCCCAGGAGTTCTGGAACGAGTCCGCCAGTACGGAATAAGCCTACTGCTTGTAGCACCACGCTGGCCGAGTCGGATCTGGTTTGCGGACCTGATCCATCTCTTAGACGGTCCTCCCTTGGAGATCCCGATCAGGAGAGACCTTCTGTCTCAGGCCGGGGGCACAATATTTCACCCTCGACCAGAGATTTGGAACCTGTGGGTTTGGCCTCTGAGGGGGCCCAACTCATAGAGAGTGGTCTCTCAGCTGAGGCTGCTGAGACCATCCTAAGCTCCAGAGCTCCAGCTACTAGGAAACTATATGCGCTGAAATGGAAAGTTTTTTCTGTATGGTGTCACCGACATCAGTGGGATCCGGTTAACTGTTCTGTGAACACAGTACTCGAGTTCTTGCAGGAGCGCTTTACGTCAGGTTTATGTCCTTCCACACTTAAGGTTTACGTGGCGGCCATTGCGGCTTACCACGCCCTGGTTGGGGGTACATCGTTGGGTCGAGACCCCCTGATTACACGTTTCCTTCGTGGCACATTGAGGCTGAGGCCTGCAACTCGCACTAGGGTGCCAGCTTGGGATTTGGCAATAGTACTAGAAGGCCTGTCTAGGGCTCCATTCGAGCCCTTAGATTCGGTTTCAGAGAAATTTCTTACCCTTAAGACTATCTTTCTGCTAGCTATTTCGTCCCTTAAGAGAGTTGGAGACCTTCAGGCCCTTTCGGTTTCCCCCACTTGCCTTGAATTTGCACCGGGGATGGTCAAGGCGTTCTTATATCCAAAACAGGGATACGTCCCTAAGGTGCCGACCTTGATTCCGAGGCCTATCGTGCTGCAGGCTTTCTGTCCTCCTCCTTTTACATCTGCGGACCAGGAAAGGCTGAACCTCTTGTGTCCAGTGCGAGCACTGGATAATTATGTTCATCGGACATCGTCTATGAGGAAGTCCGACCAGTTATTTATTTGCTTTGGATCACCTAAGAAGGGTCTTCCTGCTTCTAAACAGACGGTTAGCAAGTGGATAGTCGAGGCTATTTCACTTGCATACGAGTACTCTGACCATCCGTGTCCCTTGGTGGTCAGAGCTCACTCAACGAGGGGTATGGCGGCCTCTAAAGCCTTGTTATTTGGGGTTTCCCTCCAAGACGTTTGTGATGCGGCAGGCTGGTCCTCACCGCTCACATTCGTCAGGTTTTACAGTTTGGACCTGGATGCTGCCCCAGGTTCTCAGGTGCTTAGTGCTTAGTTCCAACAGACTGACACTCAGGTACTTGGAATTCTGGCGGTTTGGGTATTCTCGTTCCCAAAGCGTCAAGTGACGCATCGCGAGTTCCCTCGAAAGGGAACGTCTCAGGTTACTACTGTAACCATAGTTCCCTGAGAAAGGGAACGAGACGATGCGTCACCCTGCCATACTTCCTGCTTCCCTGTGATCGGCTTGCTTCGACTTTTTGAAGCTAATGCCGCGTTTCACCGGGTGAGCCTTTATCCCTTCCTGGTCATGACGTCACCCGCCCGTGACGCTCATTCTTTCCATTGGACTAGTTGACATTGATGCTCAGACGCATGCACGCTGGGGGCGTTCCCAAAGCGTCAAGTGACGCATCGTCTCGTTCCCTTTCTCAGGGAACTATGGTTACAGTAGTAACCTGAGACGTTTTCCCATTTAAGGCCGTGTTCTTTGAGGTAACTCTCCATGATCTTAAACCGCTCATCAGCTGTGGCTCTATTTTTTATGTATTTGCAAAACAGCAAATCCTCGCACAGTGACTCGCCATTCACAAAGCGGACGTACGAGATGAACAAGCAGTCTTTATTGCTGTCAGTAGCTTCGTCCACTTGTAATGCAAAACGACCGTCTTTTAATTTTTCTATGAGTTGTTCCTCAAGATCTCTTGAAATGTTGCACATACGTCTCGCAACTGTGTCGTTTGACAGGGGGGCAGCTTTTAATTTTGCTGCGCTTGTCTCGTCAAGCATAATTGACACCATGTCAGCGGGGAGAATGAGCTGCTCTGCAATTGTGTGTGGTTTTTTGCATTGTGCAATTCTGTATGCCACTAGATATGAACCCATCTGTGCTTTACTGTTTACTGATGCAGCTTTTACCATGCGAGTCTCCTGTTGACGGTATTCTGCCAGTTTTCTTTGAAAGAAATCAAGTGGCTTATTGAGGTGACTGGGGTGTGTGGTCTCTAGGTGTCGTCTTAATTTGTTGGGTCTCATACGTCATACTGTCTGCTGCTAGCGGTTTAAGACACAGAACACACATCGGTCTCTCCTCAGCCCCCACCACCGCTGTCGTGAATCCAAGAGCAAGATATACCCTTCATCATATTTTCTTTTCGGATGGCTTTTTGGTTGATTAGGCCCGTCTGGTTTGTGTCTCTCTGCTGGCTCTGGTCTTTTTGAGGTCTGGAACTTTTGAGGTCCGTGTCACAAATTTATCCATGTTGTGTTATTGCATTATTTCCCACACTAGCCTGCTACAGCTACTCACAGTAGCGCGGGAAGAGGTGTGCTACAGCCCCCCTCGTCGTAGCATCAGCACCCCCTGGTGGGGGGCTGTGGACTAACATCATTTTGTACTTAAAGGACAACTCCGGCGCAAAATGAACCTTTGGTCTAATAACACATTGGTACCTAGTCGACCGTTCTCTGAGATTTGTTTTCATGATAATCGAATGTAAAGAGTTTTATCTCTAAAAACTGTTTAGCGTATAACGCTAGTATATTGGGCATAGAGTAATGAAAAATAAAAATCGCCACTAACAAGGCTCAAAATAGCCCCACACTAACACGGTAACATAATGAGGGTCCCTACATGCAAATCGAAGAATTGAGAACTTCTTCGGTTTGCATGTAGGGACCCTCATTATGTTACCGTGTTAGTGTGGGTCTATTTTGAGCCTTGTTAGTGGTATTAACTAGCGATTTTTATTTTTCCTTACTCTATGCCCAATATACTAGCGTTATACGCTAAACAGTTTTTAGAGATAAAACTCTTTACATTCGATTATCATGAAAACAAATCTCAGATAACGGTTGACTAGGTACCAATGTGTTATTAGACCAAAGGTTCATTTTGCGCCGGAGTTGTCCTTTAAAAACGTGAAATAATTATTATTTTTAAATAGACATAACATACTGTGTTTGATATTGGATTAAAATGATGGGCAGTGTAGCTATAAGCTATAAACAAATGATGAATTATTTTAATATTCCGGAGAGCGCATTTCTGAATATTCCGCTCTTCTCGCTCGCTTCTTTTCCAAGTTTTAATCTTGCAAGAGCCACTTCCTCTTTTCTACACTTCCCTTTATATGTTTTCACCGTGATTGATTTTTGTATATTATAATAGTGTCTTCCTTTGTTATCTGAGTCCCACTTCTTCTGCCACAAATCCCTCACTACCTTTTTAATGAATGATTTAGCCTCACCTTTTCCAAATGGAAAATTTCATAATTTCATTCTTGTTTAATCTCAACGCTATCTTTGCAATCTCATCTGCCTTCTCATTTCCCTCTACACCAGCATGAGCAGGAACCCGACAAAACTGTACATCAGTTCCAACTCTATGTATTCTAACAGTGTTGTAAATATTTCCAACAATAAATCATCTCTAGAGGTTTCTTTTGAGTTTAAACTACTAAGAGGTTGTGGAAGAAATTTAATATGTTCTTTATGTTGGCATTTGATTATATTTAGAATCTTAGAAATATGATGAATTAAATAAGACTAATGTAGTGTCGATATATGTCCTTGTTAATTTGACCAAGTTTATGACCGAGACAGAGGGTCTCCAATCAAGGGTAGTATGATAAAACAATCTAAACAATAGGTTAGTTATGGCTAAGACATATCTTCATTTAGCCTCCAGAAACAACCTAGGGGGAGGAACAACTATAAAGAAGGAAGAATGCCCCAAATCGTGGTCAAACTCTGCAGGCACTTTGTATGACTGTATGACTGTTGACCTTTTCTTGCAAGAAAATAAATAACTTAGACAATTATTAACTAAAGACAATTGGTACATGTTTGTCTCTTATTCAGTGATGTTAAATTGTTTGCCACCACAAGGAGCAGCAGAGTCTGAACAAATTACAACTCTCTCGGGCCTCACCTCTTCTATCCATTGTAATCCTATTATAGCAATAATTTCAGCTGTAAATACAGACACTCCATCATTAATTCTTTTGCATATTACAACATTAAACTCCGGTATATATACTCCTACTCCTATGCTCACTCCTTGGGTCTTTAGCTCCGTCAGTAAATATTGTCATGTAATTATAATAATTAATTTCCACATAATTATGAACCAAACATCCAATATTATCTGCATTCCTTTCAGCCCATGCTCAAATAACATTAGAAAATAACTTCAACTCCAATAATAGGCAGGATGTAAATGTCCCGATCATCTGTTTAGGCTTTATTTTGTGATAATGACTGGTTGACTTTACAGATTTACATCACAAAACTGTTGTATGACATGGTTCATGTTAGTTTATCATAATATGATGATCAATAATTACAATATATTTGATATTCTTGGTGTTCTTGTTCTCATCCTCCTACACCTGAAAGAAAAATCAGATTTAGTTCTATATCTGCAGTCACTATTAGTAAGATCTGAGTCTTTGATTGTGATCACATCACCTTAATCACAGCAGAACATGATCACGTTATTGAGAGCGGTGTCGTCTCCGCTTCCCTGTGGCTTTTCTATCTGGGTCTTGATGCCACAGATTCCTTTTCCATAACACGTTGGGCTCCAGTGGCCCCAGTTGCCCCAGTCTGTGCCGTCGCCCTCCAGCACATGACCTCCAGTGCAGGTGAACCTGGAAAAAAATCAGATGTGACAATATTATGATAAAATATGTTATTGTGCTGTCGGATTGAATGTCAGTCACATGATCACCTACAGCAATCACAATCTTGAACAGCAGCACGACTGCGAGTGTGATATTAACTAAAGTATTGATGGGGAAAACTGAGTCCTTAAATAGCTAAATAAAACCAGGATGGGTAAGAGATGGTGTAAGAGGTATACACTGGGTAAGAGATGTTATATCTTATAGCACCACACACTCACTTGATGTTGTTTGCGGCCGTATCATCTCCTTTTCCTTGGGGAGATTCAACTCTCAGCTGGAAAGATGTCAGGAATCCAGAATAAGGACACCATTTGACATCTGTCCACTCACCCCAGCTGAAGAAAACACACACAGAGGTTGCCTGATCAAATCAATTATTATTTTCAAGAAAATCCTCAATTTACTTAAATAGCTTAAACACTTAATGCAAGAATTGTTAATAATCTGAGACCATTACCCTCCTACGTCGGACTCAATTGAGTTGTAGTCACGTGAGCCTGGCCGATCGACACAGTAAAGACGAATCCCATTGAGCGCTGTATCATCACCATCAATTGGTCTTTCCACCTTAAAACAACAACATTGAGACAATCTTCCACTTGAAAGAGTAAACTCTAACCCAACACTTAGTAACATTTATTATCTTCATGCTCTTTAGTATTACACAGACACTTTAAAGATCTTAAGCAGGTGCAGTTCCCTGGAAAAAACCTGGAATTAAATGTCAAACAGAAACTCCACAGTTTTGATCCTTTGAAGCGCTCATCCCCTCCATATTAGCAAAATAGAGTCAACTTACCCTCAGACTAAACCCTGCGGCGTACCATCCACTTGGACACATGCTCTTGTATCCCCACGATCCCCAATTCATCCCATTCGACACCGTCATCTCAGATCTGTAAGATCGGTCGACGCTCCGCTCATAACGACGTACTGGAGGCCGACCGCTCACATGCCCAATAATGGCCAGCAGTGAAAACATCATGGAAAAGAAGGGATGCATTGCTACAGCACTGGCCTGATTGATAAAAACAGATTGTTAGACTAATTTTCAGGTAGACTATCTGCAGCCTGTCGGAAACTCAGACGTGAAGACCAGGATACTTGGTTGTATCTTCAGCAGGATTCTTTACTGAGAACACGAGCTGTCGGGAGATGCAGTCATACAGTCTGACTAAAGCAACTTTACATGGTGTCTTATAGGCATTCAGTGGGCAGTCCTTAAAAGTGTTGACCTTACACACAGCCTTACACATGACCACTTAATCGAATCATCTAAAGACAATAGAGGCTATTACCCCCGACTGAAGATAATGGTACACCCCCCCCCCCTTGTTTAAACATCACATGCTCACAAAAACTAAGACTTTGTAATCATTTCAAGAAGATCAAAGACTGACCAAACTCCTCCAATGGAAACTATATTCAATTTAATCAGTAAATTGATGCCATCATGTTCACCTTGAATGCCCAATAGTTCACCTTAGTTTTTCATGTGATGTAATGTAAGGATGTAGGATCAGCAGATCTTAAAAGTATTCTTAAATTTGTAATATTGCAAGCCTCAGCTATCAGTGATCAGGTGGAAACCGGCGCCTCAACCCTTGTGATGTGAAAATGATCAAGCAGACACAGAGACTGTGTAGTACCATAACATTCTCAAGTTTATTAAGGAAAACCCCTAGTGAAAAAGTATACTTTATTGGATTTGAAATATATTCCCGTTTTTCAATAGTAAATTGCAAATATACTAACAAAGACTTTACTATCTTTAAATATATTAAAAGTATATTAGCATCAGAACATTTTCAAGTTTATTAAGGAAAAAATCTCATAATACACAAGATTAAGCAAAATCATCCAGGAGTGTGTTTCCCGAACAACGAACGCAACTCGCTGCTTAACTACCATAGTACGATGCCTCATTGGAGAAATCAACTAACTAGTCACGAGGACTCAGTTTTCCCCCATCAATACTTTAGTTAATATCACACTCGCAGTCGTGCTGCTGTTCGAGATTGTGATTACTGTAGGTGATCATGTGACTGACATTCAATCCGACTGCGCAATAACGTATTTTATCATAATATTGTCACATCTGAATTTTTTCCAGGTTCACCTGCACTGAAGGTTCTTATCTGGAGGGTGACGGCACAAACTGGGGCAACTGGGGCGACTGGAGCCCAACGTGTCATGGAAAAGGAACCTGTGGCATCAAGACCCGGATAGAAAAGCCACAGGGAAATGGAGACGACACCGCTCTCAATAACGTGATCATGTTCTGCTGTGATTAAGGTGATGTGATCGCAATCAAAAGCTCAGATCTTACTAATAGTGACTACAGATTTACTAAATCTGATCTTTCTTTCAGGTGTAAGAGGATGACAACAAGAACAGCAAGAAGATCAAATGTATTGCAATTATTGATCATATTTTTGAGAAACCAACATAAACCATGTCATACAACAGTTTTATAATGTAAATCTGTAAAGTTAGCCGGTCATTATCACAAAATATAATATGAGTGGCTAAATTTAAATACATATAAATGTAATGTTCTGATTGGCTCATAAAAGAAGCAGACATGTTCTACTGACCGTACTGTATCATCACCGTCAATTGGTCTTTCCACCTTAAAACAACAACATTGAGACAATCTTCCACTTTAAAGAGTAAACTCTAACCAAACACTTAGTAACATTTATCTTCATGCTCTTTAGTATTATTTAGTATTAGAAATTAGACAAAACACCTGTGAAGAGACGACTCGACGCCTGTGAAGAGACGACTAAACGCCTGTGAAGAGACGACTCGACGCCTGTGAAGAGACGACTCGACGCCTGTGAAGAGACGACTAAACGCCTGTGAAGAGACGACTCGACGCCTGTGAAGAGACGACTCGACGCCTGTGAAGAGACGACTCGACGCCTGTGAAGAGACGACTCGACGCCTGTGAAGAGACGACTCGACGCCTGTGAAGAGACGACTCGACGCCTGTGAAGAGACGACTCGACGCCTGTGAAGAGACGACTCGACGCCTGTGAAGAGACGACTCGACGCCTGTGAAGAGACGACTCGACGCCTGTGAAGAGACGACTCGACGCCTGTGAAGAGACGACTCGACGCCTGTGAAGAGACGACTCGACGCCTGTGAAGAGACGACTCGACGCCTGTGAAGAGACGACTAAACGCCTGTGAAGAGACGACTCGACGCCTGTGAAGAGACGACTAAACGCCTGTGAAGAGACGACTCGACGCCTGTGAAGAGACGACTCGACGCCTGTGAAGAGACGACTCGAAGCCTGTGAAGAGACGACTAAACGCCTGTGAAGAGACGACTCGACGCCTGTGAAGAGACGACTAAACGCCTGTGAAGAGACGACTCGACGCCTCTGAAGAGACGACTCGACGCCTGTGAAGAGACGACTCGACGCCTGTGAAGAGACGACTCGACGCCTGTGAAGAGACGACTCGACGCCTGTGAAGAGACGACTCGACGCCTGTGAAGAGACGACTAAACGCCTGTGAAGAGACGACTCGACGCCTGTGAAGAGACGACTCGACGCCTGTGAAGAGACGACTAAACGCCTGTGAAGAGACGACTCGACGCCTGAGAAGAGACGACTCGACGCCTGAGAAGAGACGACTCGACGCCTGTGAAGAGACGACTAAACGCCTGTGAAGAGACGACTAAACGCCTGTGAAGAGACGACTACACGCCTGTGAAGAGACGACTCGACGCCTATGAAGAGACGACTAAACGCCTGTGAAGAGACGACTCGACGCCTGTGAAGAGACGACTAAACGCCTATGAAGAGACGACTAAACGCCTGTGAAGAGACGACTCGACGCCTGTGAAGAGACGACTAAACGCCTGTGAAGAGACGACTAAACGCCTGTGAAGAGACGACTCGACGCCTGTGAAGAGACGACTAAACGCCTATGAAGAGACGACTAAACGCCTGTGAAGAGACGACTCGACGCCTGTGAAGAGACGACTAAACGCCTGTGAAGAGACGACTCGACGCCTGTGAAGAGACGACTAAACGCCTGTGAAGAGACGACTCGACGCCTGAGAAGAGACGACTCGACGCCTGTGAAGAGACGACTCGACGCCTGTGAAGAGACGACTAAACGCCTGTGAAGAGACGACTAAACGCCTGTGAAGAGACGACTCAACACCTGTGAAGAGACGACTCAACACCTGTGAAGAGACGACTCAACGCCTGTGAAGAGACGACTCGACGCCTATGAAGAGACGACTACACGCCTGTGAAGAGACGACTCGACGCCTGTGAAGAGACGACTACACGCCTGTGAAGAGACGACTCGACGCCTGAGAAGAGATGTCTCGACGCCTATGAAGAGACGACTAAACGCCTGTGAAGAGACGACTCGACGCCTGTGAAGAGACGACTAAACGCCTGTGAAGAGACGACTCGACGCCTGTGAAGAGACGACTCGACGCCTGTGAAGAGACGACTAAACGCCTGTGAAGAGACGACTAAACGCCTGTGAAGAGACGACTCGACGCCTGTGAAGAGACGACTAAACGCCTGTGAAGAGACGACTCGACGCCTGTGAAGAGACGACTAAACGCCTGTGAAGAGACGACTCGACGCCTGTGAAGAGACGACTAAACGCCTGTGAAGAGACGACTCGACGCCTGTGAAGAGACGACTCGACGCCTGTGAAGAGACGACTCGACGCCTGTGAAGAGACGACTCGACGCCTGTGAAGAGACGACTAAACGCCTGTGAAGAGACGACTCGACGCCTGTGAAGAGACGACTCGACGCCTGTGAAGAGACGACTAAACGCCTGTGAAGAGACGACTCGACGCCTGTGAAGAGACGACTCGACGCCTGTGAAGAGACGACTCGACGCCTGTGAAGAGACGACTAAACGCCTGTGAAGAGACGACTCGACGCCTGTGAAGAGACGACTAAACGCCTGTGAAGAGACGACTCGACGCCTGTGAAGAGACGACTAAACGCCTGTGAAGAGACGACTAAACGCCTGTGAAGAGACGACTCGACGCCTGTGAAGAGACGACTAAACGCCTGTGAAGAGACGACTAAACGCCTGTGAAGAGACGACTCGACGCCTGTGAAGAGACGACTCGACGCCTGTGAAGAGACGACTCGACGCCTGTGAAGAGACGACTCGACGCCTGTGAAGAGACGACTCGACGCCTGTGAAGAGACGACTCGACGCCTGTGCAGAGACGACTCGACGCCTGTGAAGAGACGACTCGACGCCTGTGAAGAGACGACTCGACGCCTGTGAAGAGACGACTAAACGCCTGTGAAGAGACGACTCGACGCCTGTGAAGAGACGACTCGACGCCTGTGAAGAGACGACTAAACGCCTGCGAAGAGACGACTCGACGCCTGTGAAGAGACGACTCGACGCCTGTGAAGAGACGACTATACGCCTGTGAAGAGACGACTCGACGCCTGTGAAGAGACGACTATACGCCTGTGAAGAGACGACTCGACGCCTGTGAAGAGACGACTATACGCCTATGAAGAGACGACTAAACGCCTGTGAAGAGACGACTCGACGCCTGTGAAGAGACGACTCGACGCCTGTGAAGAGACGACTCGACGCCTGTGAAGAGACGACTCGACGCCTGCGATATGTTATGCCCTAAATTAATACATGATTAACTAACTGTATTTTTCTATGTACATTTCTGAAATGCCCTTTCTGTAAAGCTGCTTTGAAACAATATGTATTGTGAAAAGCGCTATACAAATACATTTGAATTGAATTGAATTGAAAGCACCGTTTTTGAAGAGTGCGCATGTGCGAACGAGCTCTACTATGTAAGAACGAGCCTATGATTAAATCTGGAAATAAAGCAAAATAACTGAGAAAAATGAGAAATAATAGTCCTCAGATGCCATGTCTGTAATTTATAGCAAATCATATACGTTAATTCGATCTCAAACAAATTAATTAAAATAAGTTTTTACTTGTGCGAGACTTCATAAACCAACATGGTTGAACGACCGCTTTGCGAGAAACGGTCGTGACTAGTTAGTTGATTTCTCCAATGAGGCATCGTACCATGGTAGTTAAGCAGCGAGTTGCGTTCGTTGTTCGGGAAACACACTCCTGGATGATTTTGCTTAATCTTGTGTATAATGAGATTTTTTCCTTAATAAACTTGAAAATGTTCTGATGCTAATATACTTTAATAATAATATATTTAAAGATAGTACAATCTTTGTTAGTATATTTGCAATTTACTATTGAAAAACGGGAATATATTTCAAATCCAATAAAGTATACTTTTTTCACTAGGGGTTTTCCTTAATAAACTTGAGAATGTTATGGTACTACACAGTCTCTGTGTCTGCTTGATCATTTTCACATCACAAGGGTTGAGGCGCCGGTTTCCACCTGATCACTGATAGCTGAGGCTTGCAAAATTACAAATTTAAGAATACGTTTAAGATCTGCTGATCCTACATCCTTACATTACATCACATGAAAAACTAAGGTGAACAACACTATTGGGCATTCAAGGTGAACATGATGGCATCAATTTACTGATTAAATTGAATATAGTTTCCATTGAAGGGGTTTGGTCAGTCTTTGATCTTCTTTGAATGATTACAAAGTCTTAGTTTTTGTGAGCATGTGATGTTTAAACAAGGGGTGAGGGGGGGGGGGGGCATTATCTTCAGTTGGGGGTAATAGCCTCTATTGTCTTTAGATGATTCGATTAAGTGGTCATGTGTAAGGCTGTGTGTAAGGTCAACACTTTTAAGGACTGCCCTGTAAGACACCATGTAAAGTTGCTTTAGTCAGACTGTATGACTGCATCTCCCGACAGCTCGTGTTCTCAGTAAAGAATCCTGCTGAAGATACAACCAAGTATCCTGGTCTTCACGTCTGAGTTTCCTACAGGCTGCAGATAGTCTACCTGAAAATTAGTCTAACAATCTGTATTTATCAATCAGGCCAGTGCTGTAGCAATGCATCACTTCTTTTCCATGATGTTTTCACTGCTGGCCATTATTGGGCATGTGAGCGGTCGGCCTCCAGTACGTCGTTATGAGCGGAGCGTTGACCGATATTACAGATCTGAGATGACGGTGTCGAATGGGATGAATTGGGGATCGTGGGGATATAAGAGCATGTGTCCAAGTGGAAGGTACGCCGCAGGGTTTAGTCTGAGGGTAAGTTGACTCTATTTTGCTATTATGGAGGGGGTAAGCGCTTCAAAGCTTCAAAACTGTGGAGTTGCTGTTTGTCATTTAATTCCAGGTTTCTCCAGGGAACTGCACCTGCTTAAGATCTTTAAAGTGTCTGTGTAATACTAAAGAGCATGAAGATAAATGTTACTAAGTTTTGGGTTAGAGTTTACTCTTTCAAGTGGAAGATTGTCTCAATGTTGTTGTTTTAAGGTGGAAAGACCAATTGACGGTGATGATACAGCGCTCAATGGGATTCGTCTTTACTGTGTCGATCGGCCAGGCTCACGTGACCACAACTCAATTGAGTCCGACGTAGGAGGGTAATGGTCTCAGATTATTAACAATCTTGCATTAAGTGTTTAAGCTATTGAAGTAAATTGAGGATTTTCTTGAAATTAATGATTGATTTGATCAGGCAACCTCTGTGTGTGTTTTCTTCAGCTGGGGTGAGTGGACAGATGTCAAATGGTGTCCTTCTTCTGGATTCCTGACATCATTCCAGCTGAGAGTTGAATCTTCCCAAGGACAAGGAGATGATACGGCCGCAAACAACATCAAGTGAGTGTGTGGTGCTATAAGTTACACCATCTCTTACCCAGTGTATACCTCTTACACCATCTCTTACCCATCCTGGGTTTATTTTGCTCTGTAAGGACTCAGTTTTCCCCCATCAATACTTTAGTTAATATCACACTCGCAGTCGTGCTGCTGTTCGAGATTGTGATTGCTGTAGGTGATCATGTGACTGACATTCAATCCGACTGCGCAATAACATATTTTATCATAATATTGTCACATCTGAATTTTTCCAGGTTCACCTGCACTGGAGGTTTTGTGCTGGAGGGTGACGGCACAAACTGGGGCAACTGGGGCGACTGGAGCCCAACGTGTCATGGAAGAGGAATCTGTGGCATCAAGACACTGGTAGAAAAGCCACAGGGAAAAGGAGACGACACCGCTCTCAATAACGTGATCATGTTCTGCTGTGATTAAGGTGACGTGATCGCAATCAAAAGCTCAGATCTTACTAATAGTGACTGCAGATTTACTAAATCTGATTTTTCTTTCAGGTGTAAGAGGATGACAACAAGAACAGCAAGAAGATCAAATGTATTCCAATTATTGATCATAATTTTTTGAGAAACTAACATAAACCATGTCATACAACAGTTTTATAATGTAAATCTGTAAAGTTAGCCGGTCATTATCACAAAATGTAATATGTTTGGCTGAATTTAAATACATATAAATGTAATGTTCTGATTGGCTGATAAAAGAAGCAGACATGTTCTACTGACTAACCAAAGAAAGAGCCGGATGATTTTGCTTAATCTTGTATAATAATGAGCTTCTTTCCTTATTAAACTTGAAAATGTTATGGTACACATTCTCTGTGTCTGCTTGATCATTCTCACAGGAAACCCTTACGCTCAAAATAATTAATTGGTTTTAGTCAGACAAACTTAAATTAAACTAATTAGTTTAGTCAAATTAACTTTTATGAGTATTTAGCACTTTATTTTTCTTTCAAGTTCACAGAACTGAAATATTTTAAGTAAACTAAACTGTTTCAATGTTTTGTGTTTTTTTTAACACCTATTAAAGTAAACCTACCAGAGCTTGTTCTTCCAGCGACCATGCCAAACAATTCAGGTACTGCCATAGATATCCACAATTAAGGCTAGATGTCTTACGGCGGAGTCTCTATCGTCATCATCGTCGGCCATCTTGTCACAGGCAAGCTTTCTGGCGGGCTCTGTGGTGCCTGATGTAAGATGAGTGATCGGCACGAACACAAATACTCTTATATAGTTGAAATCTTGACGAATTTACAAACGATTTGGTTTCTTACAAACGTTATTAACGTGGCTATAATTCTGGATGATTTATTTATACACTTAATATTCATAAGTATGCAGTGTCATAACTACATCTCTGACGTTTATAACAAACCGTTTGAAAATCGGTAGAAAATTGAGCAAGTTATGGTTATTTAAAAAGTACATGCACCATTAAAACACAATGTTACGAGTGTGCGAGCTGCCTGTGACAAGATGGCCGCCAGGTGCGGACGTCGACCTCCATTGGCCAGCAGCGCGGACTAGACATCTAGCCTTTATTATGGATATCTAGGGGTACTGCAACCTTACCGCTCACAGGAAGTGGCATATTTAAAGGGAAAGTACACCCTCTACAGATACCCTCAGCAGCGCCCCCTATTGACTTGGCTACAATGTGTTTGGGTTGTTTTAAATAAAAATAAAACAATTATATATCATAGAGTTGTTTGTGGTGGTTGTGATTAGATCTGAGGAGACGTCACACTCGTGTTGCATTGGGGTATATGGAGCTGCCTGAAGTGTACATGAAGTAGACTCACTCCCTCGGTCAAAATCGAGGGTCTGTCCATATAAACTTCCCTCGTTCACTTCACGAAGTGGAACGCACTTCAAAATGGCGGCAGGGATTCCCGGAGGGGAAGTAGGGAAGTTCAGAATTCCAGGTGTTGGAACAGGGAATCCGTGTGTGGACCACGGATGCTGCCTGTCATTGACTTACATAGGCATCACTTCCGTGGGTCCATCACAGAATTTTCGGCGATTCCGTGAAACTGCCACAGATTTTGAGTTTAGGAGCCGTGTTCATTTCACTGAACTCTGTGAGACCAGGTTAGCCTATTCAAAGGTTCAAATGTTCACTTATATCTTCACCTTGATGTGATTTTGTAGGCTATTGTATTCTTTTTATTATGCTTAAATGGACCATGGTGAACATACAGGTTAACGCTGTTTGAATATAAAACCCAGTTGAAAATAAAAAAGTCCAGTGCAAACGTTACTCCTGCTCGTCATCAGCAGAGATGGGCAGTATTTTAATTACATCTATTTTAAATACGTATTTAATTACTTTGGAGTATTTTGTAATTTGTATTTTCCTTAAAAATAAATTAAATGTAATTAGTAATTAAATACTTTGAAAGACTGTAATTTGTATTTTAAAAAAAATACTTAAAATATATAATTTTACTTTGCATATATTAACTTCCAGGCTTAAAGGGATAGTTCACCCAAAAATTTAAATAACCCCATGATTCACTAACCCTGAAGCCATCCTAGGTGTATATGACTTTCTTTTTTCAAACCAACACAATCAGAGTTATATAAAAAAAACATCCTGGCTCTTCCAAGCTTTACAATGGCAGTGAATGGCCATAAAAGTGCATATTTCCATCATAAGTGCTCCACAGGCTCTGGGAGGTAAATAAAGGCCTTCAAAATTACACTTTAATGTAGTGTTCCTGTAGAGTATGCTGGTCATTCTCAGGGAATGCATGAACGGATAAGACAATTACTTTGAATGCAATATAAGTCACTTTAGACAATCTGCCACATGCACTAATGTAATGAACGATCTGATGTAAAGTGTTGAGCAAAACAATGTGAAAAGGTTCTGTTTAGAAAGTCTTTATTGCTGATATTTGACGACAGTTTCAGCAGAAGTTCAGGAGTCTTCAGAAGAATCACTAACCTACGAGAATAAGAATTGAACTCCATTAGGCGGGATGTAAATGTCCTGATCATCCGGTTAGGCTTAATTTTTTGGTGATGAGGACCGGCTGACTTTACAGAATTACATTACAAAACTGTTGTAAGACATGGTTCATGTTAGTTTATCATAGTATGATCAATAATTACAATACATTTGATCTTCTTGCTGTTCTTCTTGTCATCCTCTTACACCTGAAAGAATAAACAGATTTAGTGGATGTGCAGTGTGTGTCAGTCTGAGTTTGATTGCGATCACATCACCTTAATCACAGCAGAACATGATCACGTCATTGAGAGCGGTGTCGTCTCCTTCGCTTCCCTGTGACTCTTCTACCCGGGTCTTGAGGCCACAGATTCCTCTAAGACATGTTGGACTCCAGTTGCCCCAGTCGCCCCAGCAGATCAAGGGTGGGCGGGAACCCTCCAGCACATTACCTCCAGTGCATTTGAACCTGAAAAAAATTAAAATAAAATCAGATGTGACAATATTATGATAAAATATGTAATTGTGCTGTTGGATTGAATGTCAGTCACATGATCTCCTGCAGCCGACGGCCTAATCACTGCAATCTCGAACAGCAGCACGACTGCGAGAGTGATATTAACTAAACTATTGATTGGGGAAAACTATCAAGTCCTTAAATAGCTAAATAAAACCAGGATGGGTAAGAGATGGTGTCAGAGGTTTACACTGGGTAAGAGATGTGCAAAACACGAAAGTATTAATATCCAATATAAAGTGCACAATGAAATACACCTGAAAGTGGCAATGAAAGGGTCCAGTTGCAAGAAGCGTTTATTTTGACAACAGCAAGAAAAAAGGCAAACTATTACACACACAAAAAAGTGCTCCAGCACCTTCTTGGGCACCTGTTAGAAGCACTAACAAGTGTCCATATCCGACACCCACTCCAATGGCCACTTCTTTCCACTGTAACACAAAAAGGAAATATGCAATTAGATGTTTTGGTTCTGCAGATGAACTGCAAACACAAATAGACACGTTAAGACTTCCTTTAGATGTTTTCCAAATAGCTGTCTTTGAGTGGGGTTTCATTACAGTACATCACAGTAGGCTAATGTTAATCAACTACAATGCAAGGAAATCCTATAATCTGTTATGTTTCTGACATGAATCACTGTTTGGTGTGCACAATACTCCAAAGTGTTTTACATTTTTGGTAGGTTTATCTTGCTTTCCATTAGACCAACTGCTCAGTTTGAGAAGCATTAATTGATTTTGTCTTAGTAACTCAAAAATGAGTAATGTGAAGTCCACATTTACTGTGAGACAACATATGTGACAAATGAAGATCACGAGCTGACACTAAATATATTGATCCAGTTATTAATTAAGGCAGTAATGCTGTAACAGACAATTTCTGTATCTGTGCATTGTAGATTTATGATAATGATGTCCTAAAATGAAAAATGTCTCCGATTACATTACTTTTGAGAAACTTAATTAAAAATGAGCTCCAATGTAACTACATGGGGCATATAAGCCATCCGCAAGGTAACAGTGAATTCTAAGTATTGAGAATTAAATTGCGTTAGCCTTAAGGCAACAGGTCATGTCTCCTTTGCTTTTCTCTTTTATCTATATCTTTTCTCTTGAGTGAGAGAGTGAGAGAGACCGAGACAGAGAGAGAGACAGAGAGAGAGACAGAGAGAGAGACAGAGAGAGAGACAGAGAGAGAGACAGAGAGAGAGAGACAGAGAGAGAGAGACAGAGAGAGAGAGACAGAGAGAGAGAGAGAGAGAGAGAGAGAGAGAGACACTTTCACATAATGCAGCCCGTGTAGTTTGGGCCACCGTCATCAAAACACCAAAAGAAAGAATATATTTAACTATATAGACAAATCTTACCTTAATCTTATATAACATATGTCAATAGTTTGTACATGTAAAACTAATTGGCTATGTGTTACCCATGAGAAGTCGTACATACCAGAGTTTGCATGGCTCCCACTCGCTTCCATTTTTGGCCCTAAAAATAGTGAGACTTTTTCAGTTTCAAATATTTGCTGTTTAGCAGTTATACCAATCATCAATACTTTTTCAAGACCATTACACCAATAAAAGAACATTATGTAACCTATGGTATTTAACCTTAATAACTTTGTATTTGGCAACCCTCTTCACAGGGTAATAATCCTGGCTCCCTGTCACTGTATGTGGGCATTCTGAAGGGAGAAAATATTACATTCACAAAGCTTAACACTACAATAAACAAGCAATTATAGAATGATAAGTTATTAAGCTAGAATGGGTTGTACTTAGTTACAGTTTTCATATTGTAGTTATTATGGTACAGAAGTTGTATTGAACACTCGCAATGTACTGTAATCAACACAAACTTTAGGGTTGGGCAGTTGTGATAAATATATTGCCTAACAAAGACAAGTTAAATCCATGAATTCAAATGAATCTCTATTGTGCTGCCTGGGAGTTGTTAATCGCTGTCTAACATGCTAGAGACTAACAGACTAACATGCTTTTGACTGTGAAAACTAAAACCATCATACTAGTCAATGTTGTGTAATTCAGTCC